CCATGTATCTTGATGGAGAAAAGGTGGAAATCTAGGGAATTAATAAATATGCTTCGGAATTAGAGAAGATTAGGGCTGCGTAAGATTAAGTGTACGTAGTACATATACAATTGGTTATTGGTTATTAAAAGATGTATATAATACTGTATCAATAAAATAATTTTCATTAGTTATAAAACCTATGAAACTATGTTTCATGATTTCACTTTCCATGCATCCAAGCTACATACATAATCGCTGTACGTGAAAAGTTTCACATGAAATGTCAAGGTGTGAAAAATGAAAAGTAAAAAGTGAAAAATGAAAAAGTGAAAAATTTCACGTAAAGTTACATGATTGATCCCCAGGATTTCCGAGATAGCTGCACAGATGAGATACCTTCCTGCATAAACGAACGACGAACTGCGCTGCAGTCACTTTCGCAGACGAAGTAAACGAACGACATTTGCGGTAGTGACTGCATAAATGAATGCACCCTGTGTCACAGTTGAAACAGTTGTGTCAGATACAGTAAGTCTGTTCTTTTCAGCTGAACTGGCTGCACTAGTTCACAGTTTATCTTTTTTCTTCCAGTGTAAGAAAGAAAGATAAACTGTGAACTAGTGTGGCCAGTTTAGCCAAAAAGAACAGGCCTAGTGTTACACTGTGGCTGCGTTTCGATATTCATTACCATTGAAAATATATACTTCATGTCATGTATATTATAGATTTTCTATAGTACTGACAGTAAATATTGAAACGTAGCCTGTGTATCTCTGTCATCTGTATCTTGTTGGAAAACAGCCACTACAATCAGAGACTGGCCACGAAAAAGCCACTTTTGATTAATCCGCCATCTTTTGGCTATTCCCACTTATTTTCAAATTATTAACTACATTAATCTTAAATTGTAATATTATAATTTAAAAAAATAAACGTTTCAAACATAATAAAATATATATATTTATAAAACTTTATTTTACAAAATTACCAATTTATTAATATTTTTCTTAATTTTAACGATTTTAAATTTATTACAATTTATTTATTGTTTATTTTTAATTTAATTATGATATATTTATTTAAAAAAATAATTCTTTTTATTAAAATAATACTTACCAATATCATCTTATCTTCTTGCAGTAATTAAAATATATTACTTATTTACATTTATTATATTATATATATTTATTATTATTATAAACAAACTTTATTATATAAATAATATAAAAAATATAAAAAATAAATAATTTAAATAAGAAAATAAACAAAAATATAAAATTAATATAAAATAGTCAAACTCTCGAAAATTAAAAATTAATAAAAGAAAAAAAGGATAAGAGTTTCTCATAAAAATTCTTAAGATCTTTTTCCTTCAAAAATCTAAAGATTTTATTATAAAAAATATTTAAATGCAAAATGCATCGTCATAGATTTATCGTCATATATTTTACGTGTACTAACTTATTGTGTACACGTATACACATATTTTCTTTTTATAAAAAATTCTTAACCTAAAAACTATGTATTTTTTAAATTTTAATAGACAAATTGTAACAAGTTAATATATCATTCGCATTTATTTCTTTACATTTTGCAACCATAAAGTTTGACGTTTGGGATCTCTTGGAAAAAACTTTCATGATATAACCTTTCCTCGATGAATTATTGTAAAATGATGCTGAACATCCACCCATTTTATTATATTGATTAATCACAATTAATTAATTTATTAATATATTTCATAATTTTATTATCTAGATTTGATGATATATTATCGCGCTTCCCACGTTTAATTTAATGCATTTAAATTAATGCACATGCAAAATAAAAAATATCGTCCAAAACACATTATTGTAAGTTATGATGTATATTTCTTTCTCTCTCGTAGAATTTAGACAAAACATGGCGAATCAGTTGTGGCCAGTCTCTGATTGTAGTGTCTCTACTCTCGGCTAGAAGAAGGCGCTCTCACTCGCAACGTACACGCTTGTGTTCGCCACCGTCGTCGTCGTCGTCATCGTTGTCACCGCCAGTGCTCGAGAAGATTAACGGCGGGGAGAAGAATCCACTTCCAAAAACGTGCATATTCTGTCACAACGGGAGGGAGAAAGGATCAATCCAAGAGTTCCGTTTTTACGTATGTAACACAGTGGAGTTGTATTGCAGTGTGGTGCAGAATTCGACAGAGGTATCGACTTGATCATGATATATCGATCAATCGTGCGGTTAACGAGAAAACGATTTTCGACAGGAAAACAAAAGTATGTTTATGAGAAAGAAAAAAGAGAGAATGAAAGAGGAAGAAAAAAAATGAAAAAAGAGCGACAGATAGAGATCAACGCGCGAACACGGCGATGTCGCACGAAGGCTGTTTCGAATTGACAGGGTATGCTTTCCCAAATAAGGTGTTGCCGAACGCACGCGAGGGAGAGATCCGCTATGTGGCCGGACCACAAATTTGGCGACATCTGGCGGGAATACGAATCTCCCTTTCGTGGTTCCACCCTTCGATCATTTTTTTTCTCTTTTTTTTTGTTCGATTACTCACGGTATTCACGCACCTTGAAAATGCGTGATAGTGCGCTGCGATAACGCCGTCGGATAATGATGATGATCGTAAAGCTTATCGGGTCGCTTATTTTTCGTCACGGAAAGAGAAAAAAGAATCTCTTCGTGAAGGAGTCGCAAGAATGCGCTGCGATTTTCGAATCTTTTGCCCTTGTTACAGATACGAAACTTCCCTTCCCCCTCCTTTCCTCATTAATCTCAAAGCACGCGAGAATGAGTCGAATGAGAGTGACGTATACACATCACATATTATTTCAAATCATTCGTGAATCACGACCTCTCTTGCTGTCTCTATTTCTCTCACTCGTCGGGTGCGGCCGCGCTCGCGCGACCTCGTCTATTTCGGTAAATCGAAATCATTTTTCGATGCACCATGTAAGGAGCGCGGGGAATCTCTCTCTCTCTCTCTTATTCTCTCCCTCCCTCCTCTCTCCTCCCTCTCTCTCTCTCTCTCTCTCTCCTCCTCCTCCTCCTCCTCCTCCTCTCTCTCTCTCTCTCTCTCTCTCTCTCTCTCTCTCTCTCTCTCTCTTCTCTCTACTCTCTCTCTCTCTCTCTCTACTCTTCCTTCTCCGTCCTCGGTGTTCTCCCGACCGACTAATACGAAACAAACGTTTACGTATTACTTACCGACTATCACGGTCGGTTCGTCCGTCGTTAACGAAACGTAACGTAATTATGTCCACTAATGGAAGGAGGACCGAACGACGATACTAAGATATAATATGCGGCGTCTACTACTTCCCGTACCTACCAACGGAAGGTAGAGAGAGAGAGAGAGAGTAGAGAGAGAGAGAGAGAGAGAAAAATCTATTTATAAAGAGGATGTTTCATGCGACGCCCACACCCATATCGTGGACGTGTGTATAACGATAATTTATTAAAAATAATCGCGATAAAAGAGAACCGGCGCGCACATCGGAGGACCCTGTGCATTTTCTGCGTGCTATTGTCATCGTCTTTCTTTTCGCGTGTTTTCCTAAACAGGTGCAGACATGTCTTTCCGCGTGGTGCGCACCAGCAAGTTCCGCCACGTGTACGGAACTCCTCTGAAGCGCGAGCAATGCTACGACAACATCAGAGTTTCCAAGTCATCGTGGGACTCGACATTCTGCGCCGTGAATCCCAAGTTTCTTGCTATCATCGTAGAATCGGCGGGTGGTGGTGCCTTCATCGTTTTGCCGCACAATAAGGTGATCTCTCCCCTTTTTTCTCTTTATCTCTCATATTTCTGCTTGTCCTAATTTCATCGAGTTTCTCTTGTTTCATTGGCTATATAGTTGGATTGGCATGTCATCTGTATATATAATTTCAATGGCATAGTAATAATGGCAGAGAGTTCTCCAAATAACAGTTTGCAATACCATTTTAAGTTCCTCGTCCCCGCCATAATTGGGGACAGCTGATTTCTATTGTAATACATTTGTAGGTAGGAAGAATACCGGCAGACTATCCTTTAGTAGGTGGACACAAAGGACCTGTATTAGATATTGCATGGTGTCCTCATAATGATAATGTTATAGCTTCTGGTTCCGAAGATTGTGTCGTCAAGGTATGGCAGATATCAGATGGAGGTATCTCTAGGACATTGACTGAATCGATAGTAGATCTACAACTACATCAACGTAGAGTCGGTCTAGTGCTATGGCATCCCTCTGCGTTAAATGTGTTGCTCACAGCTGGCTCAGACAATCTTGTTATCATTTGGAACGTTGGTACGGGAGAAGCTCTTGTACGCATCGACTGCCATCCAGATGTGGTTTATTCGGCATGCTGGAATTGGGATGGATCTCGAATAGTCACTACATGCAAAGATAAAAAAATTAGAATTCTGGATCCAAGATCGGGTGAAATATTAGAAGAAGCTATAGCGCACGAGGGAAGTAAAGCGACTCGTGCCATCTTTCTTAGGTATGTGCTCCATGTATTACATTCTCTTTTATCATTTTCTTTTATTGTACATTATGTATTTGTATGTTATATGTAAAGAGATTGATGCAATAAGAGAAGAAAGAAAAAGGAATAGATATATTTTGAAAACATATAGATTAAATCTTTTAAAATAAATTTTACTTCATTAATTATTAGAGCAATGAATGACAAACTTTTATAAATTAGGTATATATTTCCGATTGTGTCAATTTCATTTTACAAATATAATACATTATGCAAATAAATATCACTACATCATTTTTTAATATAAATGTTGAACATTTAATTCTCTCTTTTATTTAAGAGAGAATTAATTGAAATACATTAACATAAAAATGATGAAACAACACATGATTTTTCTTACAATTTTTCTAACTTCTTTACATATACATGATATAATTCAAAGTGCTTGTCAATATTTGAACGTCAAAATAACAAATTTTTATGACTATGATTTTATAGAGGAAGAGTGTATTAAACTAACGAGTGAATTGCATGAGAGTGTGGATGTAGAAAATACATAAATACCAGATAAAGGAATGTGTGAATAATATTGTAAAAAGATATAACTTCTTTACTTTTTATATCAATAGGTATTTAAATTTAATTAAAGACTATTTGAAAAGAATAATCTAAAATATGTTTATCAAATATAATCATCAAAAAATATATACATCCACCTTTTTACACAAATATATATTAATAATAATTCAATGTATGTGATGACACATATGATGACATAAGAAAGCAGAAATTGTTTCGTAGATAATTCTTAGATATAGCCACAATATCGAAGCTCTTCCTTTCTATATTGTTATTTCTTTCCTTTTTTTTTATATCATTTTGGACTAATAACTTGACGTGACTATATATATTCGCATCGATGTGTATATGATACTTCTTTTCGCGAATGTTTTATAAGATAAATATATTTACGTATATAAGAGTTCACTTATTTTTATATCATCTTATATTTCCGGTTTGTGTAGTGCAAGATTCTGTAATTTTTAATGGAAAAACCGGGAGACTGAATTTTCGACATGACGAAGATGCCAACTTAATATATACGAATGTCAAGATGTGTGTGCTCTATAATTCTTCATAGATATTGCAGTAAGTATTGTGTACTAAGTTATTAATTCAAATTGTAAATGTTAGAATGCTTAAATAATTATATAAGTTACAACAAAATCAATGGAAATATCTTTATTAAAACAATAATTCTTTATATCTATGCTTATGACAGAAAGAATTCGCCAAAATTTATATTTATATTTAAGCAAAAAATTATGTGAGCTATATAATTTGTATATTATAATTGTGATATTTTTTATATTGTAATATATGTGTTTTTTTTTTTTGGTAATATGAGAATTGTCATAAAAGATACTAGCTCGATAGGAAATAAAGTGGTAATAAGGTGGATGTAAAAAAGTTTTGATGATTACTTTCTATGTGCAAAAATGATGAGATATTGCAAAATAATGTATGCGATGTAAATATATTTTTTTATCACAATATGTATGTATATCTGTATAAAAAGCTTAACATACTAAATAACAAATGATTGTCATATTGAATATCGGCAAAATCTTCATATTAATTAAAATTGCTTGTATATTTTCAGGGGTGGCTTAATTTTTACAACGGGTTTTAGTAAGATGTCAGAAAGACAATATTCATTACGTGCTCCCGATATGTTGGGCGAGCCCATAGTTATGGTAGAATTAGATACAAGCAATGGAGTTATGTTCCCTCTATATGATCCTGATACAAATTTAATATACTTGTGTGGGAAAGGTGATTCTGTGATTCGATATTTCGAAATTACACCAGAACCACCATTTGTTCATTACATCAATACGTTTCAAACTCCTGATCCTCAACGAGGTATAGGAATGATGCCAAAACGGGGCTGTGACGTTAATAGCTGTGAAATAACCAGATTCTATCGATTAAATAATTCAGGCTTTTGCCAAGTAGTGTCTATGACTGTGCCGAGAAAGGTAAGTAAGAAAGAGTTGCCTTGAAGATAGAAACCGAGAAGTAAGGAAGTTGCTTGTTCTATATAATTATGTTTTCAGTCTGAGCTCTTCCAAGAAGATTTATATCCCGATACTCCCGGTGATACCGCTGCGATCTCGGCAGAAGAATGGGAGGCAGGTACTGATGCAGAGCCTGTGCTGATATCTCTCAGGGATGGTTATCAGCCATCCGCTTCTAAGAACGAACTTAAAGTACAAAAGAAATCTAATATATTGAGCAAAGGCGCAAAAGTTGCATCTAATGCGCAAAATGCTATGCAGATTTCACCAGGAGCTTGCGTACGTATCAAAGATTCATCATCTCCATTTTTTTGACTAGATGAATGATTTAATAAATTTGTGTGATTGTAGGAGGAATTATTGAAAGAATGCAGAGAAGAGATAAGAAAGTTAAAAGCAGTGATTGTAAAACACGAGGGAAGGATACGAGTACTCGAATCGGCGGTTGCTCTTCAAATGAAGGAAGAAGAAAAAAAAGAAAAGTCGACTTCTCCTGATGGCAAGGAAACGCTTGCTTCCGACGAGGTGTAAAAATTCTGGATTTCATCGTCGACGAAATCTCTGGCGTGACGTTATCTTCTAATGAGAATATTTTTTATTAGAATGACTAATATATTGTCTAAGAATGATCATATATTTTGATATAACAACTTGTGTAAATAGTAGGTTTTAACGACGCCATGTGCCCTTTGACTCTCTGCAATGATCTTTGCTATTTATTGTACATCTATTCATCGTACATTCTCTGCATTTGCATTATGTTATGTTTTATTACACAGCGCGTGCCACACACACCACACACACACACACACACACACACACACACACACACACACACACACACACATACTT